ATGCAGCAATTTGAATCCCTATGGGGTCCCCTGGACTGATAGACAACAAATTTTCCCATTAGAGAGTGCCCAGAGAACACAGAGAACATGTAACAATACATTGACTTCAAAAAAATCCAAACCAGCTCCCAATTTATTTCTACAATGTAACTGCTCCCTTAGAGACTAGTGCTTTAGTAAGTCATAGCACAGCACAAAGATTTTTAGTGAGAAGCCATTGAGTTAAAAACTCATTATGGTGTCCATGAAGTCTGAAATATCTGGGAGTTGATACATTGAATCTTTGTACCTGTAGTGAAATACGCACTGTGCCATTAAATAGAATGACCACTAAGCTATATCCCTTAGGGAGTGCTTTGAAAATAAATTTCTGTTTCAGTTCCAACATCTGCCTCAGACTACTTTTTCTACCAAAACAGGGAGACCATTTGATTTAAAGGAGTCCTTTAAAGATTAAATGCTATAAGCACTACCTGGTTTATTATACTGCTATCATTGTGAGAATTATTATTCAGAATGTAAAATACAGGGAGTCGGTAAACTGAGAATGACTGTTGATTTCCAGCTTTCCATCTTCAGTGAAAGATAGTCATTATTTGTGAAATCTAAAGTCTTCAAACTTTTCTTTCTTTCTGAAGGAGACACTGTGGGCAAGGATCAAGAAGGCAAGTTGTCCGTATTAAGTTTCCAAGCAATTTCTTCATATTCTCATAATGAACAAATTGAAAAATATGTATAACAAGCTGGCAATTGTAAACAGTATATTAGGTATCCCACTCCATCCACAGACAAGAAAGATTATAATTTTTATGCATGTGGCACAATTTTCATGGAATCGGAATAATGGAGTTGAAGGAACCTATTGGGCCATTGAGTCAAACCCCCTGCTCAATGCAGGAATCCAAGTCAAAGTATATCTGACAGAAGGCTGTCTAGGGGCTCGCCTATAGTAAAGCAATAGATTGGAATATGTGTTGGTGTAAATTTAAATCAACACTGAGTCATGGGGCACCACGTAGTGTTTGACTCCCAGTTTGCATTCCCTTGAAACAAACGTGTTTTCAAAAGGACACCCTTGCCTGTCATGTACATTCTCTTTCTCCAACCCAAGGCTTGTGGGCGGGCATGTATGTTTGTGTGCACCCAGAGGAAGGAAATAGGAAACAGCAGAGCAAGCTGACACTAGAAAAACCTTCTTGCAATTGGTGGTACCTTGTGAGCTCAGGAGGCCTCTGTGGTGATGGGTGGCTGACACACACTGCAAATGTGCAAGCAAACACATGTAGAGAAAGTTGGGGTGGAAGAGGCATTGGCTGAAACTGGCTGGCTAGAGGGGGAAATAAAGAGGTGGGAGCAATGTTTTTGCCTGACTGCTTTTCAACTGTTGGCTCCAGAAAAATCATTTTGCATATCCCCCCTTATTTTTTTTGCAAGCATGAGATGGGCAAGGATGTACATCATAAGCCATCATTTATTTCACCATCAAAAAACTATGTGCCCTCTATTATTTCAGTGTTATCTTCTTCTCTGAAAATATTTACTGATGTACCAAAGAATTGCCCTGAAAGCACAATGCACTGCTATCTAATATTTAAGGGAGATAGCAGAGCATAAGGACATGAGATGAGCTGGATCAGATCCAATGATCCAGCTGCAGAACATGATTGCAGCTGTTCTTTGGTTATACACTCTCTGGCAACTGCTCTATTGCTTCTGATCCTGGAGGTGATGTATAGCCATTCTATTATTTGTTTACTTGTTGTTATGTGCTGTGAAGTTGCTTCTGACATGCCACAATCCTATGAATGAGTTACCTCTAAGAAAAGTCCTATCATCACTTGTTTCTATCCTGTCTTTCTCCCCCCCCCCAAAAAAAAGGAATCTAAGGCAGCTTTGTACAAATTGTACAAATGAATCTTCTGGCTAATAAGGAGCTTCCAGAGCCATCCCAGTTGAATTACACAATATTAGACTAGACTATATTAAGCCAGTGCAATGTAGTGGATAGGGTGTCTGACTAGGATTCATGATCCTTACTCAGCCAGTTCAGATTCTTGCTCATCCATGGAAGCTCAATGCGGGGGGCACAATGGTAAAACCACTCCTTGAACATCCCACATACTCTGGAAACCCTATTAGGTTTAGCATAAATCCAAAACAACTAGGTGGTCTATGAGAACCACAGACTGGATTGCAGGTCTATTAGGGTAATAAGTGTCTCATGTGTAGTTTTCCCCTATTTTTGCAAAACTGGGCAAGTATGAGGATGAAAAACCAAAACCAATGATTTATCTCATTTTTGACAGCAAAGTAAAGAAAACAAATGAGATAATGTGGGGCTTGTTTGAAAATATGCATGTATTTTAGTCCATTTGGAATGTGTGTTGTGTTAATAAACGTGCTGTTTTTCAGTATGGGATTGCTGCAGCCCCCCACCCAGTAAACTCTGGCACGAACCAGTCTTGCTAATCAGCTTATTGTGAAATGACACAATTAGTGTAAAATGAAAAAAAAAACCTTTGTAGCCATCTTACTTGACTGCCTTTGGGAATCATTCTCAGCAATAAATGACGGGCCGTTGTGTTCCTGTTGATATTTCTCCCTTGCATTGCAGTACTGCACTGAGGATAAACACGTTCTTTGTGTCAATAGTCCCGGAGCATTAAGAGGACTTGGAGTTCTTATCTGCTAATGTTCAAGGACTGCAAATTAATGTGGTCAAAACAGCCCAGCTGCCTACGCAGGAATGAGATGTAAACCTTTTTTATTATTAGTCCAGGTTCCTGGCTTTGAAATAGATGTCACTGTGCTGTGTAATTGCAGGTCACAAGTTGTCATCCGAGAGAGTCTGGTGCTTTCATACAGTGTGGATTTGACAAGATCTACCTTGACGGAGCCAATAAGAAAAAAGGATTATGATTATCTTTAAAAGGACAGGAGGCTGGTTGTGAATTTTAGATTTGCAGCTTTTGCTGCAATAAGGGTTTGGGAGTTTGGATACATTCAGTAGTTGAACCTTCCATTCAAGTAGGGACAGATCGCTCAATCAAGCCAATTGCTGCAGATTTCCTCCTCCTCCCCCACTCCCCACCTCCAGGTCAATCTCACATCACTTTTGGGCAGATTTTAAGTATGTGTGTGTGTGTGGGGGGGAAATACAGCCATATTTTTATGCAGATTAGTAGGTGCCTGACCCTAATGAATAAAGCATGTTTGTCCACATGTTAGAAATACTGCAGTATATTTTTCAAGTGTGTTTATGTTGCAAAGAATACAACGTAGACCACTTCAGGAGGAGTGAAGGCTGAAGCCTGGGGATGCTGGCAGGTCAGCCAGAGCCATTGGCAAGCAGGTTTGTCTGCCTGCTAAGGCAGGAAGCTGACAGCAGCTAGTTGTCTACCTAGCCCACAAGAGCCATTGGACAGAAGAGATGTAAGCCTGGTGTCTGGACTTTCTCGCTGTATTGCTTAGCTGCCCTCTGCTGCTGGGACATCGTAATGTCTGTTCTAAGCAAGGGTTTTCTCTTGGTTTCTTCTAGTAAAGGCTATGACCTTGGCAAAGCCAGGAAGTGAACAGCAATGTGCCTGCCATAGCCTCTCCTTACAACAGGGGTAGGGTCTAGTTGGAGCTGAGATACTTTTGCCTTGATAACAGAGACCAGTCATGAGAAACAACAGTCAAGATCCATCACCATTATCCGACATCCCTAATATGTATCTCTCACCTTGCTTGTGTTTTTTCCCCATTGAAGATCTTAAAAAGAAGGAACTCTTTTATTTGCTTGAAATTTCCATAGCCATCAAAGAGATGTTTACTGTTCTCATTGGAAATGCACCTTCATGGATTGCTGCCTTGTCGTGGCGAAGGGGCTTGAGTAATTCAGAGAAGCTATGCGCTATGCTGCGCAGGGACACCCAAGACGGACAGGTCATAGTGGAGAGTTCCGACTAAACGCAATCCACCTGGAGCAGGAACTGGCAAGCCACTCCAGTATCTTTGCCAAGAACGCCCAATGATCAGAAACAAAAGGCTAAAAGATATGACGCTGGAAGATGAGCCCCTCAGGTTGGAAGGCATCCAACATGCTACTGAGGAAGAGTGAAGGACAAGTACAAATAGAGCTAATCACATGGTTGGGCCAAAGCCGAAAGGATCCTCAGCTGTGGACACTCATGCAAGTGAAAGGAAAGTCCAATGCTGCAAAGAGAAATACTGCATAGGAACCTGGAATGTAAGATCTATGAACGTTGGGAAGCTGGATGTGGTCAAACAAAAGATGGCAAGAATCAACATTGACATCCTGGGTGTCAGTGAACCAAAATAGACAGGAATGGGCAAATTCAATTCAGAAGATTATCATATCTACTATTGTAAGCAAGAATCCCATTTGCGCAGTTGGAAAATCTATTTTTAAAAAAGACAACAAAAACAAACAAACCCCGATTTCTGTTGTAGGTGATGCACCATATACAGAAAGCAAGTTTTCTTTTACTTTATTTGCACCAAGAGGCTTGGAAAGTTAAGCTGGAGTAGAAGGAATATGGAATGGCACAGCTCAGCAGGAGCTAAACAGTGGTAGAGTGATGCTCGGGGACCCAGTTGTGGGTGGCTTCAGCAGGTTATTATATTCATTTTTCTCCATAATAACTGTCAGGGTTCGACTCCTACCCTGTTGTTGTTTTTTAACCTATAAAGTATTCTGCTGAGAATTTCCTGAGCAGAAGATCTGGCCAATGTAGGAACAGGCAAATGTTTCTGCTGCACAAGAGAAAGCAGGTTTTCTCATTGGCTGAAATCCTGTTCCATAGGTTATGCCATGCAAGGTTGATGCCATCAGCCGTGGCAAGTGTTTAGAAACAAAACATTTCCAGTTTTTCTTCTGAAGGTCCAAAGGCTCCAGTGGAATACCTTTGGGTAAGGACCATAGGATGGGAAAGGGAAGTCTTTAGTCACTGAAAATCACTGTTGATGGTTAAAAAAACAACACAAAAAACCCCCATCATATCTGTGTGCTTGCTTAGACTGCTGTCTAGAAGCTCATTGTTAACAAGCAATTTCCAGGCTCTTGGTCCCCCCTTCTTACTTTAAAACTGGTCAGTTTTCAATATAGAGGCTGCCTTCCAATACAAGATGGTTCTCTATGAATGGGACACAGGGTCACTCTTCTTGTAAGTAGTGGAGACGGTAGAATGGAAATTCTTTGTCCGAAAAAAGAGGAAAGATTGGCTGTAACAAAAAAAAAAAGAGGGAGTAATCATTACATATCCTATGACTTAAAGCCTCTGCTCTCTCCTTTTTTTGTGACATGAGAGATTCACACCGGATGAATCATCAACAGTAATTTCCTTTGCTACAATTACATATCTTATGACTTAAAGCCTCTGCTCTCTCTTTTTTTTTGTGACATGAGAGATTCACAGGGGGCGAATCATCAACAGTAATTTCCTTTGCTACATTTGTAGCATAAGCAATATGCTCTGTGTTTTGTCTGTATTGAGAAGTCAACCGCACCGTCTTCAGACAAATGTGCAAAAATGGATCAATCAGGCCTGTTTATTTGATATTTGGGCAACTATGGGGCACAGTATGGTACAGAATTTTTGCGTTTCAGAGAAAATTCTTTTTTTTGTTACACAATAGAAGTACAAAGATCCACAGAGGAGAATAACTATATATATTCCCCTGAGTCCATCCCTTTCTCATTAACTAGCACTTAAGTTCTCAGTAACTCACTCTGAGACATTTGTAGAAGAAAGAATAAAAAGTGGCTTGAAATGACAGACTTGTTTATACTGCTTTCTTTACTTCACACACACTAGCAAACAAGCAAACAGATCAACAGTAACACACTGCCACCAACTGAGAGGGACAAAAAAGGATAGAACGGTGCGGAGCAGAGAGGGACAGAACACTCAGACTCTCTCTGAATTTCAAAAGCTGGAAGGAATGATTGGCTAGTGTTGGATAAAGAGATAATTGCCCCAGTCCAGAAAAGTCCATCCCAGTCAGTCAAACCAGAGAGTGGGAGAGGTCGTAAATAAAACTCCAACAGAGTAAAGAGTTGCAGTTTGACCATAATGTGGAGTAATTCCACAAGGGATGTTTTAATTCCTTTGGTCACACAGGGTTAAAAAAATAGGCTGCAATTTAATTTGAGAAAAAGGTAACCAGTAGTGGTACACTGAGTTCCTGGAAGTGTAAAAGCAGGTTCTTACAGTGAAGCCCGAGACCTTCCCTGGACACACCATCCATGGAGGCGCAAGGGAGGGCTCAGATGAGTGCCCTGTGCAGTGTATAAGCTCTTGCAGTTACCGTGCCAGCCATTTTGTAGTAAGGGTGAGAGTGCAATTTCACTACAATAATGAGTTAGGAGCTGAGGGAGCAATTACATGTTGGGGAAAAAATTATTTTTGAATTGGGTTTAGCAGTTTTGAAATCAATAAAAAAAATATTCTGACTACATGATGCACAGGGAAGTGTAGATTTTTTTTTGCATGGCAAGTGTGTGTGCCTTTTTTGTTTGAGAGCTAGGAATTTTACTTGGTTGCAAGAGGGTCATTTATTTTAAATTGCTTCTGAAATTGACATTTTGAATTGTTTTGGCACATGTGAATGCCTCTGTTGGTGTAAATTGTGTCTGTGGGATTTGTCAAGTAATGGATGCCAGGATCATGGGTTTCAGGCTGCAGGGAAACCTTGCAGTCCAATTGGTTACATATTTTTCCACCTGTAATATTGATCTAGCACTATCCCAATTTTAAATAAATTGACAATTTAAACAAATATCGAAACACTGGTGGCAGCCCCTGAAACCCATGTCCCTGCAATACAATATTCTTGGCAGGGACCCATGGAGGGCCAGTGGAATGTGGAAATAGATCCTTCCTGAGTGCCCAACTTCACCAGCCCACATGCTTATCTTCAAGTGTTTTGTTCCTGTGGCATGTATGTAGAGTGGGACCTCTGACATTACTAAAACAGGGGTGTTATAGTCATGCTTTATATAAGATGAATTGTGAAGACAAAAAAACTTTATGTGGTGTGTGGAGTACAGAAAAACAAACACATGCAGGTCAGCAGGATTATAGATCTCAGTTTATAGCCATGTTAGTTCAAACTACAGGAGATTCTGAAGTAACTCAATTCATTTGTTATAGCATGACCTGACCCTATGGGGGCCATGAGCTGGATGTGGCCGTCTGATCATTTTTGTGTCACCTCTTGTGCCCCACCCCAAATGTCAATGCTGGGTTTCAGGAGCAAAACAGGAATTATGCACAATAAGCATGTTTGCTTAAGTAAAATGGCTTGTAATGATCTGTTAATAAATTGCAGTAGCAAATCAGTACTACCCCATTTAAAGCAAGCAAAATATTTGCTTTACATAAGATGTTTCCAGTTGGCTGGCCAAATTTTGGCAGCACAGCCATGATGGAATGTATTATGGCCCACAATGGACCTTGGTGGAGGTGGGCAATATTGGCCCTGAAGTTGTGAAAGTTCCCCATCCTGGTCTTAAAGAAATAGTAGTTCTTCTATTACATATTTTATACACTATGAAGATAGAAAGCTAGTTAAAGTCTAGTTGAATAGACCAGTGGTTCTTAACCTTTGTTACTCGGCTGTTTTTGAACTGCAACTCCCAGAAACCCCAGCCAGCACAGTTGGTGGTGAAGGCTTCTGGGAGTTGCAGTCCAAAACTCCTGAGTAACTCAAGGTTAAGAACCAGTGGAATAGACTACTGTAATGCAGTTTATGTGGGGCTACCCTTGAGATGGATACAGAAACTACAGCAGGTCCAGAACATGGTGGCGAGGCTTCTAAGTGGAACCAAAAGATACCAACACATTTCCCAGATTCTGGCCACCTTACACTTGTCACCTGCCTGTTTCAGTCCCAGCTTCAGGTGATGATGTTAAGCCCTAAATGGCTTGGAACCTTGATACCTGGCAGAACGCTTACTCCCAACTGGGACTGCCCACCCTACTCACTTTTCCCAAGCAGGACAGTTCAGGATGATGAACCTGAGAGAGACCAGGAAAGAGAAAACAAGAAATTGGGCCTTCTTGGCGGTCTCTCCTCAGCTACGGAATCAGTTGCCATCCGCCATCCGCCTGGCCCCTTCGCCTGGAATTTTCAAGAAACAATTTAAGACCCAGCTATTCCAGCAGGCTTTTCAAACCATGTCGTGCATGGAACCTTTTAAAACTTCAGTTAATAGCCTATAAGGACACTTGATTGCTGCCAATTAAAATAATTAAAACGTACCAATTTTTTTAAGAATGTATTTTAAAATTGTTTGATTACTGTCATAATATTTTTTTATAGTTGGATTATTGTTATCATTTTATGATCATTGTCATTGTTGATTTATTGTTGTTTTATGCTGTAACTACCAAAAGTGACCCTCAGCCAGATGGGTGACATAGTAAGTAAGTAAGTACTGTAAGTAAGTAATAACTACCAAAAGTGACCGTCAGCCAGATGGGTGACATAGTAAGTACTGTAAGTAAGTAAGGAAGTAACTTAGTTAGCTAGCTAGTTAATTAGTTAACTAGTTAGCATTAGTGTTTCAAATATATGTCCAGTATAGTTTTATGCAGTGAGCAATGTGGAAAGGCGTTATGAATGCTCACAAATCCAAAGAGGGATAGAATGACAAAGAATCTCCTGGTATATTCAACATTTATAAGTTTTATTTAGCTTAAGCCTCTGTGGACTGTAATCCATTTCTTGAGGTGGATGGATATGCTTGCATGGATATGTTGTGAGAACAGCCGACAAAATCTTGTGCCAAATAGGTCTTGTTCCTGCTGCAACAAACCAAAAGGTTTGTTGGAAGCAGAGACAGCAGATCGGCCTTGGCTTGCCCATCGAGAGCCATACATCACATCGGTATAGACTGGAGATCCAAAGTCGGTGAGTTTGTGCCAGTCTATTTATGTCGGATCAGTCCTTGCATATATGTATATACATATACAGTACATGTCTGTATATACAGTACATATACATATAATACACACACACACACACATACAGTATATGAATATACACGCGCACATGTATACATACACATATATTGCACACACACCGCACACACATACACACATAAAGTATATGAATATACACCCACACATGTATATACAGTATACATACACATATATTGCACACACACCTCTACTTACTTATAGACAGTGGTATATTTGTATACGGTATATCCAAATCTCACTTTCTCTCGCTTTTCCCAAAGTCCGTACACAGAGGCACACATGTATGGCGGGACCAACGCAGATGGAGGCTAACGAGCGAGGGCAGCCAGCGTGGGGTGCTTTCCGCCTGAAGAGCGTGCCCCCCCACCCTACCCCACCTCCGAAGCCAGGGAATCCAAAGCAACGCGATCGGCGTTGGCCAGAAGGGCAACGTGCTCCGCAAGAGCACAACAGTCGTCTAGAAATGCAACCTCCCGAGAGCGAGGGGGAGGTGTTTCTGCCTCGATTTACCGAAGGGAGCAGAAAGCGGCTGCCTCCAAACCGAGGGAAGGTGCTGCCGGCTTGCCGGTGCGGCGGCGTGGGGGGGGGAGAGAGAGAGATTGGGGGAAAGAGAAAGGGAGGGCAGGAGCGAGCAGCCCGCCAGAGGCTCCCATTGACGACAACCCCTCGGGCCAGCCCCTTGCCTCTTCCTTAGCCAATCAGGCGGCCGGCTTGGGTCGAGCCTCCTTCAAGCCTTCCCCTGCTTTCCCAGGGCTAACCTCCCGGGCGGTCATGTGATGGGGGATATAGTACTACGCGGGGAGAGCTAAAGGGCAGACACATCGCCAGCCCTATTGCTGGGTCGCCCGGTGGGACCCCCCCTCCCCGTTTACCTCGAGGCACTTTTCAAGGACACCCTTTGCTGCTGGATCTCTCATCTTCGGGGAGGGGGAAAGGGAACACTACGGTTTTAAAAACATCCTTTTTTTAAAAAAAATCTCTCTCTTTACTTTTCTTTTTTAAATGTCAAGTGGAGCTGCTGGGATTTTTTGCCCCCAGTGGGTAATCTAAAACTGGGGCGGGGGGGGATTCACTGTTCTCCCTTCCCAGGTTCACCCTCAACCGCCGGTGTTGATAAGGAAGGAGAAAGTTCAGGTAAGAACCAACTAAGATTATCCTCCAAAATAAGAGCGAAAGAACGAATGCAGGCTTGACTCGTAAGGCAATGGGGAAGCTCCAGATTTTTAGGGGGGTGGTGGTGGATGGTCGGTGGGAGGGAGGAAGGGAAGGAAGAAGTCAGCTCCCATGAAGGTGTCTCGCAACGTGTGTATGCATGCGTGCGTAGCAACGCTAAGCAGGACGGCTGGGATCAGTGGACGGAGATCTCTGGAGGGACCGATCGGGTCGGATCGATTCAATGCAATGCAGTTTGCATGAGAATCCCAGGAATGTTGTTGGAATGGAAGCGAGATCTGCCTTTACTCGCATCCACCTCGGCAGGGCGTTGTGCGTAAGGTGTTTACAGTCTGCAGGAAAAGCGAGGCGGGGAAACGTGTGTGTGTGTGTGTGTGTAATCCTGTTATGGATTCTCTCCCACTCTGAAGGACAAGATAATTGCCTATTAGACTTTGATGCATTGCGATCCTTTAGTTCTGATGGAGATCCGAGTTTTCCGAGCGAGGAACGTGGCGCTTTCTCCTTTACCATATGTTCAGTCAGGCAGCGTGGTCTCGGAATCGCTGGCTACAGCCGTCCTCAGGCGGGATAGAGTGTGGGGAACGGTCGCCTTCCTTTAAATAGCGAGCAGGCCCGGTGGTGCTTTCCCGCTTCCCAGCTGAGCTGGGAAGTGAGTTTTTTTGTGGCCGCTGGAAGGGATCAGAAATCGGCCCTAGAGGCGAGGCCTCTTTTTCTCTCCATGTTTTTCACTCGAGGCTCGACTCCTTCCAGCAGGTTAAAAATGTCTCTGTTTTATTTTAAGATTTCCCATCCTGCACCTCTAGGAGTGAAATACAAACACATGGTTGGGGCGGGGGAAGAGGCTGGAGAGGCACTGCAGATGGCGAGCGCTTTGCGATCTTTATTGTAAATCAGTGTCAAGGGAGCAAGGAGAGTCAGCTGTCACCGGGGAAAGGTCCCAGAGAACAGTTGAGCTGTCAAAACAGGCCGGCCCCAGGCTGTAGCTCGACGCAAGCCCGTTGATGCGCTGTGACACAGCAGAGGCGCTTCTGAGCTTCAAAGAGCGTTTAGTCTGTTGAAGTATTTTGTGTGATTCTGCAGCTTGCGTAGTCAGACACCAGCGAAGGCTTGGTATGTCTCCTTTGGGAAGCTAAGGAGACAGTCAGAAGCGGTGCCCTGCCATGCCGTCCGGCCAAAAATCCTGCCTTTTAGGATCAGCAATGTGATACCTCCAAGTTGGGTCACCCAGCACACACGCTGAGTTTTATCTTCCGAGCCTGCAAGGAAGGATACTGCACGGGCTTCCTAGGGAGCACAAGACTGTCCCACACATAGAGCTTCTCCATCTTGAGCACGTGTGCGTGTGCGTGTGTGAGAGAGAGAGAAAACCTGCATAAACTGTCATAAGAGAAAGCCATAGGTTTCTTTTCCTTCGGAGCAGAAGGCAAAAGAGACCCTCGGACGACCTTCACAGGCGATGCGGCGTCTCGGAGGTCCCCTTTCGCCTTTGCACCCAGGCAGGAACAAACGTCACGTATGGATCCCCACTCGGTCTCTTCTCAGCTGCTCTCAGGTTGAGGACTGACTCTGCTCTCTCCGTTCCCCAACATGTAGCCACTCCATGTAATTGTGAAGGTATCGCTTCTGGCCCGGGGGGG